TTGAACATGAAAGTGAGGATCTTGAAGTGGATCTGTTCAGTGATGGGGAGCCAGTGGAGCCTGGCCAAAACTGGTGAGATGTGGGTATGGACTTTGGTCCGGGTAAGAATGCGGGCAGCAGAGTTCTGAATGAACTAGATTTTTTGAATAGTGGAGCTGGGGAGATCGGAGAGGAGTGTATTTGAATAATCCAGGTGGAAAGTGACAAACGCATGCACGAGGGTTTCAGCTGCATTTGGGGTAATGTATGGTCGGAGGCAGACAATGTGGCGGAGGTGGAGGAAAGCAGTCCTGGTCAGGGACTGGATGTGGAGGAGGAAGGACCCCTGGGGACACAAATTGGATGCCTAGATTGCACACTGGTTCAGTGAGCCCGAGGGAAAGCCCAGGGACGTTGAGGAGTTTAGATCCACAGGAGTGAAGATGTTGACGGGAGCCAAGGAGTATGGCTTCCGTCTTGTCCACATTCAGCTGCAGGAAATTTACACTTATCCAAGTCTTGATGTCTGCCAGACAAGCTGATAGAACATCGGCAGACCTGGAGTTGGTTCTGAAGGAGGCAAAGTAGATTTGTGTGTCATTCGCATCCTTTTGGAAGTTTACCTCGTGTCCACAGATGACATCGCCAAGAGGGAACATATAGATTAATAAAAGGAGGGGACAAGGATGGAGCCCTGGGGAGACTGGGAGGGGGTAGAAGGAGAAATCATTTGCCAAGATGAAATGGAGATGGTTGGTTAAGTAGGACTCGAACCATGTGAGTAAGGTGGATAAGGGAGGAGAGGCGGTGGAGGAGGATAGCATGGTCAACTGTATCGAACGTAGCAGAGAAATCCAGGAGGATGAGGAGGCAGAGGAAGCCCTGGTCACAGATAGAGAGGACATTGTTGTAACTTTGACAAGCACTGTCTCTGTGCTGTGGGCAGGGCGAAAACCAGACTGCAGGGGCTCGAGGAGAGAGAGGTGTGACCGAATAGACGGGGGATAGGCATGACAATAGGACAGTTAAGGGGGATATATGAACAATTTGTGTTGTATTCAGAGGCAGTGCATTATGGAAAAAATAGCTGAAATAATCTCATTGTAAAAACAAATTAATTTTTATACAAAACTGTATAATGCATGAAAAGAAATCCACGATTATAAAATAAAATTTAGTGATATCTTCTTGCTTATTTTCATGCAATGAATTCAACAGAATGGGTGTGGTCAACAAATCATGATCAGGAGTGTCAAATTGGATATCTAGTCCCATAACACAGCTCCCATTCAACTCCGTGAAGCATATTGATGCATCCTTCTGACTTTCCTTATAAATGAAATTTGTTGTTCTCCCAGAATATGCAACATCAACATATGTAATCAAAAATTTAAATAAATGTCAAGCGCTAAATGCACAATTAAGTCATGTTTTAAAATTGATGCTGGTGCTCAAAACCAAATGAAAACCACATTTTTATTATTTCGCCCACTAAATACAATAACAACAATAACAAATTGCATTTATAAAGTGTCTTTCACGTCGGAAGACATTGAGGGATTTGCACCCGAACTGAGGGTTGGGATCAGAGAGGGGTCGAGGGCAGATGGGGTGGAGGAAGGAAGATGACTGAAGGCACGTTCGAAAAGGAAGGTCTTGAGACAGGCTTTGAAGGAAGCAAGGGAGGGGAAATAAAATTTTTAAAAATGTAAAAGTAAAGTGGAAATTTCCTATTGAGGGCAGTTAATAGATTGTCTTAAATTACTTTCTTCTAACTGCTGGGCTGTTATATGTTTTGAAAAGTATTTTAGTGTTATGTTTTGAAACCACTGCTATGTTTCTTTCCACTTCTTTTGGGGCATCAATAATCTTTTATTTATGTATAATCTTGTACTCCACATTTTTTATTCTCTCTCCATACTTTGTAAATACATTTTCTTTTTGTCTTTCTATCAATTTCCCTTTTGATCTATTTCAGACCATCTTTGTTTAGTTTGTACCCTACTGCACTAATTACTTGGTTACATGCATAATATTATTGAAGGATACTTATTTATCCTTGACAGATTGGTAGTGTTAATCACAATCTTTTACTAAGCTTGGCACTCATACCTTGATGTTTGTCCATCTAAAGTTTCATAACACCAGTTAAGTCTTCTAAAGCATAAAGCAGTTAAAACTTGTAAGCAAAACAGAAGTCCACAGTATTAAATGGACAGTGGCAGCATGGATACAGAACTGGCTGGAAAACAGAAAGCAGAGAGTGGTGGTGAACGGTTGTTTTTTGACTGGAGAAAAGTGTGCAGTTGTGTCCCGCAGGGGTCAGTATTGGGACCACTGCTGTTTTTGATCTATATAAATGACCTGGATTTGGGTATAAGGAGTACAATTTCCAATTTCCAGATAATACTAAGATAGGAAAAGTAGTAAACAGTGAGGATAGTAGCAGACTGCAAGGGAACATAAGCAGACTGGTAAAAATGGGCAGACATGTGGCAGATGAAGTTAAACGTGGTGATCCATTTTGGGAGGATGTCAAGGCATTGGAGAGGGTGCAAAGGAGATTTACCAGGATCATACCAGGAATGAGGGACTTCAGTTATCAGGAGAGACTTCCTGACTAGTTATCAGGAAAGATTATTCTCCTTGGAGCAGAGAAGGTTAAGAGGAGACTTAATGGAAGTTTTCAAACTTATGAGGGGATTCAGTAGGGTGAACAAGGAGAAACTATTTCCACTGGTGGGTGGGTGGGTGGGTCAGTAACCTGAGGACATGGATTTAAAATAGTGCTAAAAGAAATAGAGGAGAAATGTTTTCACACAGCGAGTTGTTCGGATCGGGAATGCATTGACTGAAAGGATGGTGGAAGCTGATTCGCTAACAACTTTTAAGAGAGAAGTAGGTAATTATTTGGGGAGGACAGGTTTTCAGGGCTATGGGGAGAGAGCGGGAGAATGGGATTGATTTGGATAGCTCTTTTCAAAGAGCCAACGCAGACACAAAATGGGCCAAATGGCCTCCTTCTGTACTGTATAATTCTGTGATTCTATGAAATCGTGACTGATTACTTTCTAAAGCAGAGATTACATAACCAAAGCTTGGTGTTGTATTGTACTGTTCATTAATATTAAAGTAGGGGGCAGACATTCTTCTGGGAAAAAAAACTGCACAAATTAAGACTCCACAGTCCTATTAATAAATGGAATATTTGTCGGACCCAGATACGTTCTTTATATTTTTGCTGGCTAATTTTTCTAATTTAGTTTCCACAACACTCAGGGAGAGAGAAGGCCCCTGAATTATAGGTAGAGGCTAGAATACTGGAGTAAAATTTACGGAATTCCAAAACTCATTCCATTCCTTATTTAAGGAATAGGTTTAGGAAAATGCCCAGGTTGGTCCCTCTGGAGGCATGCTCCACGTGGGTTCAGAGGACTACCAATTTGTTTTGACCCTGAGGCTAGCAATTCTATTTTGTAAATCTTGGACCCTACGTCAGGCTTTATGTTTTTTATTCGTCTTTAGGGTTTGTCGCAGGGTTTGTCTTTCACAGGGTCTGTCTGGCGAGCTGGACTGGAATCTTTGCTGGCCTAGACCACAAAAATTACTTTCAGCAATTGGCCAGAGGTTTCATGCCTTGTGCTGGCAATCACTGTCAGCCTGGCTGTTGGTAACACTCTCACTGCTGAACCCTGTGTGGGTTCAAGCCCCACACAGGGCCTTTGACCTCACAGTCTAGGCCTTGTCTGACACTTCAGTGGGCAGTGGTGGTGGGGGAGTGAGGGAGTGGGGGTCATGGGGAGGGGGTGTGGGGGTGGGGCAGTGGGGGTCAGAGGGATGGGGGTGTGAGGATAGGGCAGTGGGGGTTAGGGGGAGGGGGTGTGAGGGTGGGGCAGTGGGGGTGGAGCAGTGGAGGGTCAGTGGGAGGGGGGCAATGGGTGGGGCAGTGGGGGTCAGTGGAGGGGGGCAATGGGGTGGGGCAGTGGGGGCAGAGGGAAGAGGTGTGGGGGAAGGGGAGGGGCTGTGGGGAGTGGGGCAGTGGAGGTCAGGAGGAGGGAGTCAGTGGGGGGGTGGGGCAGTGGGGGTCTGGGGGGGTGGGGCAGTGGGGTCAGGGGGAGGGGGTGTGAGGGGTGGGGCAGTGGGGGTCAGGGGGAGGGGGTGTGAGGGGTGGGGCAGTGGGGGTCAGGGGGAGGGGGTGTTAGGGGTGGGGCAGTGGGGGTCAGGGGTCAGGGGAGGGGGTGTGAGGGGTGGGGCAGTGGGGTCAGGGGAAGGGGGTGTGAGGGGTGGGGCAGTGGGGTCAGGGGGAGGGGGTGTGAGGGGTGGGGCAGTGGGGTCAGGGGGAGGGGCAGTGGGGGTCAGGGGGAGGGGTGTGAGGGGTGGGGCAGTGGGGTCAGGGGGAGGGGGTGTGAGGGGTGGGGCAGTGGGGTCAGGGGGAGGGGGTGTGAGGGGTGGGGCAGTGGGGTCAGGGGGAGGGGTGTGAGGGGTGGGGCAGTGGGGTCAGGGGAGGGGGTGTGAGGGGGGCAGTGGGGGTCAGGGGCAGGGGGTGTGAGGGGTGGGGCAGTGGGGTCAGGGGGAGGGGGTGTGAGGGGTGGGGCAGTGGGGTCAGGGGAGGGGGTGTGAGGGGTGGGGCAGTGGGGTCAGGGGGAGGGGTGTGAGGGGTGGGGCAGTGGGGGTCAGGGGGAGGGGGTGTGAGGGGTGGGGCAGTGGGGGTCAGGGGGAGTGGGTGTGAGGGGTGGGGCAGTGGGGGTCAGGGGGAGGGGGTGTGAGGGGTGGGGCAGTGGGGGTCAGGGGGAGGGGGTGTGAGGGGTGGGGCAGTGGGGGTCAGGGGTCAGGGGGAGTCGGGATGGTGATGACGCGGGGCAGTGACTGACCACCTCGTCACGTGCTCTCCCCACGCTGTGCTCCCCACGTGACGCTCGGGCGGCACGTGCGCTCTCCCGCTCCCTCGGCGCCAACGGCTTTCGCTCGAGCGATCTCGCGAGCGTTCGGGACGCGGTTGGGGCCGTTGACGGGCGGGCGGGCGGGGTGGCGGGTAGCAATGGCCGTGTTCAGAAGGCTCCTCGACGCCGCGGTTCCTCGCCAGCCTCTGGCCGACAAGGGCAGCAGGGCCCGGGGGGCGCTGGCCAGCTCCAGGCTGGCGCTGGTGTGCGGGCTGGGAGGGGCGCTCGTGGCCTTTTGTTATCATCGTTACCTCGAGGAGCCCGAGGACAGGAGGAGGAGGAGGAGGAGGACCAGACTCGGGGTCAGGTTCGGGCTCCCGGACAGGGGCAGGGCTGCCCGGCCGCAGCTCGCTCTGCCGATCGTGGCAGCCAAGGAGAAGCCCAAGGTAAGCGCCGTTACCCGGGGAGGTGCCGGGGCCGAGTGCCTTTCACGGGCACCGAGGACCACCGCTGCGGATGCGAGTGAGGCTGAGCCGCATCCTCCGGGGCTGAGAGCATCCTTGGAACCCGGCGGGGGGTGGCGCCCGGTGTCCGTCCACAGCCGTACACCGGAGGCGGTGTAACTCGCATCTTTAAACGTTTTAGTATTTTTCGTGTGTTTTTTTTTTAAAAAAAAAGGTCTTGGATCGCATCGAGAACCGAACCACAGGACGATAATTACCGAGAGCCTGTGGGGGTGGGGGGTGCGGTGCTGATGGACGCTGGTGATTTGTTGAACACCGCGTTTCCATCGCTTTCATTATTTATATGGCAACAGCTGTCACCTTTTCAACGCTCCCCCGAACATGTCGAAAGGATGGCGTTAGCCTCTGGTTACAAGCAGCCAAGGACGGGGGTTTGTTTAGTTTGTGCTGAAGGACGGTTCAGTTTCACGTATCGATACATCACGGGGTCAGCGTTGCGCATCGATTCATTTGCAGTGCGAACTGCGTGGCGTTTTGTGATCCAACCAGAGCGAGAGTCTGAAGGGAGGAGGAAAGATGCCCAGCACAGCGAGACTGGCCCATTTGTGAGAAGGAGAATATTTTTGTTGTGAGATTTGATTCGGAAGTGCAAAGCCGACTCTGTACGTTGATTATCAATTGTGATAAAGTTAACTCATTAGTCGAAGCAGACACGGACTGTAATACCAGGGAGTGGTTTCAGGTTGCAATGGTTTTTGTTCCGACTGGAATTGTTACCATCACAGTTGGGGTGTACAGAAAACTGCATGTTGACCGTCAGTTTGATGATAGCTGCGAGTATATTTAAATCCGAATTTAGTCAAACAAATCTCATGTTTTCAACAGCAAACCCCAAATAAAATTGATTACTCCTTCCATAAATGTTTGTAGGACATTGCTGTGAGCCCAGCTCGCGTCCATAACTCTGTCTATCCTGCGCCTTGGAACGTCCTCCCGACTTGAAAGGCGCTATACAAATGTAATATTGTTGCTGTGAGCAAATTGGCTGCTGTGTTCGGCCACAAAAATACAACAGCTTGCACCTATAAGGCACGCTTCACACAGGCAGCAACTTGGATCCTCATCCTCACCTACAAGACCATTCACGGCCTTGCTCCATCCTACCTCTCCAATCTACTATCCCCCCACGTACCTGCCCGTACTCTCCGTTCCTCTGGCTCCGGTCTGCTCCACATCCCCCGCCCCAACCGCCCTACCATCGGTGGCCGGGCCTTCAGCCTCTCAGCCCCGAGGCTCTGGAACTCTATCCCCCAGTGCCTTCGCCGCCTCCTCCCTTTCCTCCTTCAACAACAAGATTCCATTTATAAAGCGCCTTTCACGTCAGGAGGACGTCCCAAGGCGCTGCACAGTTGGGTCATGACCCGAGTAGGGGAGAAATGGTCAGGGGGAGGGGGGGGAGGGAGCGAGGAGCGGGGAAATGGTCAGGGTGAGGGAGGGAAGAGGGGAGCGAGGAGGGGTAGAGAGTCGAGAGGGGAGCTGAAGGCTCGGTCAAAGAGAAAGGTTTTGAGACCGGCCTTGAAGGAGGAAAGGGAGGAGGCGGCGAAGGCACTGGGGATAGAGTTCCAGAGCCTCGGGGACTGAGAGGCTGAAGGCCCGACCACCGATGGTAGGGCGATTGGGGCGGGGGACGTAGAGCAGACCGGAGCCGGAGGAACGGAGGGTACGGGCAGGTAGGTAGATAGGTAGGCCGGTCTCAAGACCTTTCTCTTTGACCATGCCTTCAGCTCCCCTCTCGACTCTCTACCCCCTCCTCGCTCCCTCCCTTCCCTCCCCTCACCCTGACCATTTCCCCCCTGCTCGGGTTCTGACCCAACTGTACAGAGCCTTGGGATGTCCTCCCGACGTGAAAGGCGCTCTATAAATGCAATTTTGTTGTTGTTGGAGCACTTAAACAATGGCAGAGTTTGATGCGAACTTGGGAGAAACTGGTGGTGACCATAGACACATTGCCAAAGAGGAAGGTCTTCAGATGAGATCCAAAGCTGGGCAAGGCAAAGATTTCCAGATTTATGGTGTGTAATGGCTAAAAGCACAGTAACTGATCGTGGAGCAGAGGGGACAAGGGACCTGGAGAAGGCCGGAGCCAGCTGAGCGAAGTGAGTGACTCAGTGTGGGTGATGAAGTGGGGTGTAAGAAGATTGGAGAGGTAGGGAGATGCTAGGGTATGAATTGATTAAGTTTGTGTGATAATCTTGAAATCAATCAATTCTGCAATGGGGAGCCAGTGGAACCTGGTACAGGTGAGAATATGGGCAGGGAGCTTTGGATCAGTTGGATTTTGTGGGTGGTAAAGCTGAGGAAAGCAGGAAGTAGGGTATTGGAAAAATTGAGACGTGAGGTGACGAAAGCATGAATGAGGATTTCAGCTGTGTTGTTGTGAGGTATGATTGGAGGTGGATGATATAGTGGAGGAAAGCAGTTCTGGTCAGGGACCTGATGAGGGGCAGGAAGGATAGCTGGGGATTAAACTGACGCTTTTTGCTTTTGATTTAGCGAGTGAGGGATAAACCGAAGAGGTTAAGGAAGCAGAGCCGCAGGTGAAAAGAAATTGACAGGAATACACACAGTTGCACCACTTTACAGTATATCCTGTGAAGTGCTTTAAAATGTCTCAATGTGATAAGGTGCAATATTAAATGCAATAATTATTTATTATAATAATCCTTGCAATTGATGCAGCACTTTATTGTTTTGTCAAAACCTCTCAACGTGCTTCACACGATTTACAGTGAAGTGTAGAGACTTTATGTATTTGTAGACAAACCTTGGGCAAAACCTTGGGCAAGTTTCCTCACTCCACATGTTTGATAATAATCCCTCAAGAAAAAACAATAATAAATTAGTTGCTTCAATCCACGACTGTTTGTGGGGACACTGCTGTGTGGAATTGGCTGCCGCATTTTGCCCACAATTATACAGTCAATTCACTTTACAGTATATTCTGTGAAGCGCTTTGAGACGTCTAGAAGACATGAAAAGCGCTATATCAAATGCAAGGATTATTATTAAACAAAGCAGTCAATTTATACTGAGTAATGACTTTAACATGCAGGGGAGGGGTTTCCTTTAGCCAATCTGTGAAGTCCAGGAGCAATTAGTGAGCTTGATTTGTGGCAAAAGAGGCAACAGCTTCAAAGAGAGTGACCTATCACTGAGCGCCTGGAGTCTGCTTCACAGTGGGTATTGTCTATTTGTCAAAGCCCCTCAAATAAAGATTACGCAGTTAGTGCTGATTGAGTGCTGACTGAGCTAGGATATGGATCTCGAGAACTTTAAAGTGGTTAGCACATCACAAGCCGTCCTGTAAAGATCCTCCCTCCACACTGAAGGCAGGTACCTGTTGAACAGCTGATGAAGAGAATTGGGATGGCAACTGCTGGAAGACATGGCCTACTCAAGCTCTGCACCTGTAACTCGTGGAATCATTAAGCAACGGAACCACTGCTGGATAGGAATGTGTGTTTGAGCTACGGCTGGAGGATGATGAGTGTTCTCGTACATTTTATGCAGAGCTGTGCTGCTCATCAGTATTCTCGGAGAGAGCTCCTGGTACTTGCTATCCACCTTGTGAGGTTTCAAACCTGTGCATGTCAGATATCAAATGACCAAGAAGCAACTATCCTCCCTGTGCCACATTTTTTTCCTTTCCCAATCAGGTCCAAAATAGAGCAGAATTGCATAACTTCCTCTCCAAGGTGCTGGAACAAGTTAATACATCTTAGCTTTGCTTCTTCCTCTCCCATCACTCCCTCAATGAGTCCCTTCAATGTGGTTTCTTTCCCACCCCAGCATTGCGACTGCCTTAGTTAAAGTCACTGATGACATTCTCCACGCCTGCAACCAGGGTTCCTTTTTCTTCCTTGACCTCTCTATGGCCTTCATCACCATTGCCCACTTCATCCCGATCTGCCCTACAAGTGATGGGTGAGCTTTTAGCTTTTCCAATCTGGAGTTCTTCTACATTTCTCCCTCCCTTCCCTCCTTCCATACACACATTAAGACCTATTTTTCTGACTTGTCTTCCCGATGTGAAAGGCACTATTTCAATATAAGTTGTTATTTTTGATTGTCTTCATATTAGACATCTCAAAACCATTTGATAATGAGTTGTAGTTGTAAACTAATTTTTGGGTTATCTCTTCCTCTTTGAGTGGCTCCAATTGTAAGTTTACGGTTACTGCTTCCAGCTATATGCTCCAAATTTTGTTTGCTGATTACTTTTACGTTAGGTATGTTGAATTATTTTTTATCCTTCAATTACAGTTCATTTCTGTTTTTAGAAACAACAAGAAATTACATTTGTATAGTTCCTTTTACATCGGGAGGACGTCCCAAAGCGCTGGACAATCAGTGTTTCGGGTCCGAGTTGGAGGTGGGAGGGTGGAGGGCGGGGGGGGAAGAAGGGTGATCGAAGGCACGGTGGGTCGTGAAGCCGGCTGGAGCCCGCTGAGCGGAGGGAGCGGGCAGTTTGGTAGGGGATTAGGAGGTCGCAGAAGTAGGTGGGGAATAAGGCCATGGAGGGTTTTGAAGGTAAAGACCAGGATTTTGAACTGTATACTCTGTGTAATGGGAAGCCAGTGGAGTCAGGCAAGAATGGGGGTGATGGGGTCATGGAGCCTGGTGCAGGAGAGGACACTGGTTGCAGAGTTCTGGATGATCTGCAGCCTATGGAGGGAGGAATTGGAGAGGCCGATAAGCAGGGAAGCCTTGCTTCAATAGTTTCCTTAGCTACTCTCAGGTTAAGCTTTATCTTGATGTATAAAAATAACTTGCTGCCCAAACTAGCATCATTAATCAGTTTAACAAATTGGACTTTATGTAACTCCCTACTAGTTTGATACAGAATTATTGAACTAGAAATAATAGTTAATTAGTTCACCAAAGTTGGCTTGTGTAATTACTGTAATACACTTATATCATGT